CTTTGTTCCTTCGGCCATTCAGCCATGTTGCAGGCGCCTCGCTGGGTCCTGGGAACGTGGGGATAACTCGGGCCCTGCCCTGCCCTTGAAGAGCTCACAGCTTCCTCGTCGGAAGGATGGGAGAGCCCGAGCTCCAGCCCAGGTGCGGACCACTATGGTGGGACCACGTGCCCCTGTACACTAGAGGAGGCCAGTCCTGCAGTGTCCCAGAGGCATCGGGAAAGTGTGGCTGCCTAACGGACACTCCGGTGAAAGGCACTCCAGGGGGAAAGGGCAGCATACACGGAGGCCACGACTGTCCCCCTGCTCTGACCCGTGGGGTGAAGGCGGAGATGGTGGACACTGAGCCAGTGAAGACACGACCTGTGTCAATCCAGGTGCACTGGGATGCATGGGATGCAGGGGGAGGGAGTGGGTGATGGCAGACAGGGGTCTCCAGCCTTCCCCTCCCCATCCTCTCTGTCCCCTAGGCTCCCCTTCTCCCAGCTGGGCCTTACGATTACCAGCTTCTCCAGCCTGACCATTTAGGAAATGCCAGTGATTAGCGATGGTTATCATGGTCATTAACATTCCCTGGGAACAGCCTGGCTAGTATCCATCAGGATTCGCACTCCCGTTGGCGTGAGCTGAAATCCTAATGAAAACCTCGAAGCAGAGCACGAAGCAGCGGGACCAGGGTGCAGTTCGTGCTGATGGCTCCTACAAGTGCCATGGCGGCCGTGCGGGTCTCTTTCATTAAATGGCATTTTCAAGGCTGGCTGCTTTGCTGGCCTTATCACAGTGAACCACACGTGGCTTGCAGAGTGGAGTGTCGCACAGTGGCTCGGTGTCTTCAGAAAGTGCATGTTGTTCAGTCGGGGGTCCTGGCCCCGGGGGAGGTGGGGGTTAATCCCCACAGAGGGGGCAGGCCGTGATGCCCCCATAGCGGGTGAGGAGCCTGGATTCACAGAAGTTACCTGCAGTAGGACTGGGCAGTGAGGCAGAGAGGTCTGCCGGTGTGCATGGATTGGCATGGAGGGAGGAGGGGCGCCGCTCTGAGCTCACCCAGCTGGGATCCCTCACGCCTCACCTCACCTGCTCTCCCATGTGGAAGGCGTTTTCCAGAACACCGACAGAGTCCCATGTACGTCTACAGATGCACACCCAGTCCCCGGATCGGGGATGCACTTGCGTGCTCCCGTCCTGCGATGTGGGGAGGAGGGAACCGCTGCTCCTGGCGTGGTCCAGCACCACCCGCTGTTCTGGGTCATCAGGGTGAGCCCTCAGACCTCCACCTGGACCACAGCGACAAGAAGAGAATCAGACCGACTAAAGCCCTATTACAACAGACATAGGGAACGACCGACCCTGTCGGGGGTGGCTGTCTCTCAGTGTCTTTCAGAATATATAAATAAGTAGGGGCTGGTGAGTGGCATGATGGTTAAGGGCACTAGACTCCCACATGGCCAACCGCAGTTCAAGTCCCGGACTTAGCAGCTTATTTTCTCACTTTCTCTCTCTCTCTTACTCTATCCCTCTCTGATCAAATTAAAATCATGAATAAATAAAGTTAAATAAAAATAATTTTAAAAAGAATGTATAAATAAATAAACTTTTTAAAAGGTGGGTAAAAATTTTAAGGGTAAACTTTTTAAGGAGAGTAAATTTCAGGTTACATACATATTAACATCCTGAATATATTTTTTTAAAATTGGGGCCAGTAGTTGGTGTAATGGCTATGTTGCTGGACTCCCATGTAGTCAACTGCAGTTCAAGTCCTGGACTCAGTGGCTTAAACTCACGCCACGCGCATGTGCATGTGTGCCCAAGATCCCAAGAAGAGAATGGAGAAGGGATTGTGGTGTGGCCATCCCCCCTGGGGGGTGATTTCTCGCTTTCTGTCTCTCTGTCTCTGTCTCTCTGGCAAGTGCACACATCCTATAGCAAAAACCTCTCCAAAAAAATTTTTTTTTTTTAGTTCTGCTATAGGGTGTGTACACTCACCTGAGAGAGGCAGAGAGAGGGAAAGCAAGAAATCACTCCCCAGGGGGAATGGCCATGCTGCAGTTCCCTCTCCTCTACCCTCCTCTTGGGATTTTGGCCACACACACAGTCACTCAGTGTGATTTTCAAGCTGCTGGGTCTGGGACTCGAACCATGTAGTCGGCCGTGTGGGATCTAGCTGTCTTAACCTCTGCACCACCGGCTGGTCCCTTTAAAATTTTTTAAGGAAGGATTGTGCACACTGGTGAGACAGAACCAGGATCCAGTGTGCAAAGGGAAAGCACAGGAGGCTGTGGGACGAGGCCTCAGTGGGCATGGGCGCTGCTCCTGGCCTGGAGAATCCGCAGATGCAGCTCTGTGGGCTTCCTTAGTCTCCCCGCTAAGCCTTGTGGCCAGGAGGCGCTGGGCACATTGCTGAGTCACCCTCCGCACTGCCTGGTACACTCCCCTTCAGACAGGGCCTCTGCTGGCTGGGAGTGAAGGGGGGAGAGCTCACCCATCCTTGAAGCTGTATCCTAGGGCGGCGGGGGAACCCCTCTGTCCCTCCTGCAGCCCCTAACTCTGGTGTCACTGGGACCTGACAGAAGCCCTTCCCTCAAGCCCACCAACCTGTGGGAGCTTCTGAGCAAGATCCGCACACCAGACCCTGGGTTCCACCAGGAAGAGATGGAGGTCCTGCCCTGGAGACCCGTGCGTGCCACAGTGGGGCTCGGACTTTCCTCCCCGGAGGGCGGTCTGACGGTATAGGTCCTCATCCACACTGCTTACAGCCCTCGGCCCAGCGGTTCCACTCCTTGGAGTACTTCCCGAGGCCAGGACTGACAGCTGTCTGATGATACATGCACAGAGTTGATGGCTGCTCGTAAGAGTGAAAAATTGGAAGCAGTTTAAATGTCCATCCATGGGAAGCTGGATTAATTAAGTTTAATAAATCCAAACTATGGGGCCATTAAAAAATAATGATAGAGAACCATGACTTATTAATTCAGAACAATTGTTATGATGTGTGATAAGGTAGGGGAGGAAGGCAGTTATAGCTACATCGTAAAAAGCAGGAGGGTCAGCAGGTGGCATGGAGGTTAAGGCCCTGGATTCCCACATGACCTACCACAGTTCAGGTCCTGGACTTGGTGGTCTGAAATCATGCCAGAATTATGTGTATGCACGCCCAAAATCCCCAGAGGAAAATAGAGGAGAGGAATTGCAATGTGGTCATCCCCTGAGGGGGTGATTTCTCACTTTCTGTCTCTCTGTCTCTCTCTCTGGTGAGTGCTCACACTCAATAGCAAAAGCCACAAAGCAAAACAAAACCAAAAAACAAAACACAGAATCGTGTATATGCCCAGAAAAGGGAGTAAGCAGACACACCACTGTGGGGGAGAGAGATGGAGAAGGGACTGGGCAGGACCATTCCCCATGGAGGTGCTTTCTC